AGTTTCATGTATTGTATATATCATATGTTTACATGTCTATGACTGCAACTTAGTTACTAGCTCAACACTGACAACTCGCAAATTTATACCTCCATTCCAGACATTGCTCCTCAGTTCCAGACCCATCTATCCAGCAAGCCACTCAACACCGCACTTTTATGTCTCCCAGACATAAAAGTTCAGCAAGTCCAAAACTAACTCATGATCTCCCCCCGAGAGCCTGTTTGTCTTCCCGTGCTCAGTAAATGTCAGCCCCCCTCCCACCAGGTGTTCAAGCTAAACACTGAGATGCCATCCTTGGCACCACCTTAGCATGCATTCCCAAATCTTGACTACCTTGCCTCTTAAACTCATTCATTTATCACTCTACTCATTTATTTAATAATTATTTTTAGCCTTGTATTAAAAATGAATGATATAATGGTAAAAGATAGATATGTCCTTGTCTCTCAGAGCTCATAGTCGTAAATCACAACAGCGCATTTCGGTGAACGAATGACGATAGTTTTATATAGGATAGAGACTTTATATAATTTCATTGGTGTGCAATCACATATTCTGTGTTAGATCTCATCATGGACCATCTATGAAGATGTATAGTGAAGAGGTATAGTGTCTAGGGACATGAGCTTTAAAATCGGATAGAATTATTTGATCAATAAGTTGATATGCTCTTATTACACATCTAGTACATGCTAAGCACTTCATAGGCATTAGGAATTCAGCTAACAATAAACAAAGTCTTTACACCCCAGCATTTCGGAACACTTTCCCACTCTAAGGAAACAGTCCATTTCGATGGACTAATTTATTCCCTCTGAGGAAGCCATATGCTCAAAAATTTGTTTAAACAAGAGTGGTAACAGCTACATCTATTTCTCAGAGGCAGGCATAGGAGATGTTTTAGCATGAGTGACCCAGTGGTTACATTAGGAGTATAAGTTGCTGAACTAATTCAGTGATTCAGCCTGTGACTTGGAGAGCATTTCATGTTTGGTTCACCAGGGTCACTCAATCTTTTATAAAAATCACTTATTTGTTTCTACTAACCAATATTGGGTTCTGTGGTTTGTAACTAAGAATCCAAGGTGATATACCTGGGTTGAATCTCAGGCCTTAAAGATATTAGCTGGATGTTTCTGGGTAAATTATTTAACTTCTTTCACCCTGTTTCCTCATCTGCAAAATGAAAAATATTCAGTGCAATACCTCATGGGCTTGTTGGGAAGGCTGGCTGGGGTTTTCATTTGAGTTTTCCAGCCTTGATGTCTCAATGTGCTCTTCTGAAATAACTGTCATTCTAAGAATTCAAGGAATGGGTTTTTGTTTCTCCACCTACTTTGATTCCTTCTACCTCTTTCCTGGGGAGAATCCTCTTCCGGAGCTTCTAGTCAATTCACGCAATTTTGAGAATTGGAACCAGGCTTCCTATAAAGAAGATAAAATTCAAAGTGAGACAGACCTGGGTGTAAATCCTTGCTCTGAACCTCCCAGCTGTGTAACCTCAGGTGAATTGCTCAGCATTGCATTGCATACTTTAATTGCAGAATGCGATTTTCCATGCCCCTGCAAACATCACCAAATTCCAGAAAATGAAATGCTTGTAATGTAAGTGCTATTGTTTGCCAATGGTTTATCAGATGGCGGGGAAAATAGCCATACTGTCATGCCATCAGCTCCTTTGACACAGCATTTAACAGTTTGCAATGTTTCTATATCATCTGATATTCACAACAACCTGGAGTGAGCTGTGCAGAATCGTTATCTTAATTCCTACTTCACAGAAGAAATTGACAGAGAAATTGAGACCAAGTCAGTATTTTTTCTGCTATACCCAAGTGTTAGGGGTGAACAGAACATTTCAATTATATCTTTTGTCTCTAGGACTAAAAGTGGTATTTAAAAGACAATCAATTGGCCAAGTCTGGTGCCTCATCCCTATAATCCTAGCACTTTGGGAGGCCGAGGTGAGGATTGCTTGAGCCCAGGAGTTTGAGATGAGCCTAGGAAACATGTGAAATCCCCTCTCTACCAAAAAGGATACAAAAATTAGTCAGGTGTAGTGGTGTGTGCCTGTAGTACCAGCTACTGGGAAGCTTAGATGGGAGGATCCCTTCAGTCCAAAAGGCGGAGGTTGGGGTGAGCCAAGATTGTGCCACTGCACTTCAGCCTGGGTGACAAAGCAAGACCTTGTCCCAAAAAAAATTTTTAAAAAAACTAAAACTAAAAAATCTTAAAAATAACTAAAGGATGGCTCACACCTATAATCCCAGCAATTTGGGAGACCAAGATGGCCAGATCACAAGGTCAAGAGATCAAGACCATCCTGGCCAACATGATGAAACACTGTCTGTACTACAAATACAAAAATTAGCTAGGCGTAGTGGTGCATGCCTGTAATCCCAGCTACTCAGGAGGCTGAGGCAGGAGAATTGCTTGAGCCCAGGAAGCAGAGGTTGCAGTGAGCTGAGATCGTGCCACTGCACTCCAGCCTGGTGACAGAGTGAGACTCCATCTCAAAAAATATATAAATAAATAAAAATAAAATATCTAAAGGAATAAAATACAATACACTAAAGCTACTAATTTTCTAGTATATTTAACATTAATCTTTTGAACACCTTCCTGCTTTTGGAGGAACTCCCTATTAGGTCATCTGACTATGAAAGCCAAAGAGGACTCTCCCGGCTCCCTGGTTCCTGAACGTGAGCACACAATCTGAGAGTATCAACAGGGTGTTCCAACTCAAGTCTGTGACTACTGAGCAAGCAATCCAATGACACAGAGGACATTGAGACTTTAACTCAAATGACAGTAACTTCAGTGCTAGAAGCTTGAGGGTCCAGTGGTGGCAGCAGTGGTGGCAGCAGTGGTGGCAGCAGTGGTGGCAGCAGTGGTGACGTAGCGGCTAACTGCTAACAAGCACCTCCTCGGCAAAGGGGATCTTCAGCTGTGGCCTAACTTCCTGGGATACATGCATTTCCAGGGCTGGTTCTCTGGTCTTCCATCAACTTTGGAAGCTACTCAATATCTTTTCAGCACATGCATTTTCTTGTTAAAATCTTTTCCTTGCATGCAATAAGCCTAAGTGGTACCCTCAGGGAAACATTCACATGACCTACTGAGATGTTCTCTCTAACTCACCTGGCCTCAGAGCAGGATTTTTGGGTAAACTGGTCTGACTTGAGCTCCCTCCAACCTCCAAAGTCTGGAAGACTTTGTTTTTTTGTTTTGCTTTGGTTTTCGAGATGGGGTCTTGCTCTGTCACCCAGGCTGGAATGTAGCATCATAGTCTCAGCTCACTGCAACCCCTGCCTCCTGGGCTCAAGCGATGCTTTTGCTCAGCCTTTCGAGTAGCTGGTAATACAGGTGTCCCTACCACACCCAGCTAATTTTTGTATTTTTAGTAGAGACGGGGTTTAGCCAGGTTGGGGGCAGGCTGGTCTCGAACTCTCAACCTCAAGTGATCCACCCGCCTTGATCTCCCAAAATGCTGGGATTACAGATGAGAGCCACCATGCCTGGCCTGTAAGACTTTGAGTCGCAAAGGTGCTTTGAGTCACCTATGGGGTAGACCCATACCAAGGATCACAAGGACAATGGGCCAGCTAGCCTCCTGTGTCCTGTGGACCTATGTCCTGTTGTTTACACTGTCAATTCTATCACCACATACAGACAACCTCAAGATACATACAATTCATGATAAACCAGAGCCAGTCTAGTAAAAGCATGCCTGAAAGAGTACTGTGAGGGGGCGTTTTCAAAATGTTTTTAGTGAGCAGCTACCACTAAGAAGGATGTGGGCATGGACTCACAGCAAAAGAAAGACAAATTCATTAGAAAGCCCAGTGAAGACTGTTTAGGAGTTTCCTTGTGCAGAGCAGACACTCTGTGGGAATTTCATAATTTCAGAGTCTTTGGATAAGTCCTATTATTTATCAAAAGGAAGAGGCCGATAAAACTGCAATTAGGCTGTGATGGAATCTTCCAAACTATCAAAACCTACCTCCCATGGGTCTCACAAGCACACTTCACACATTGAATGGCTTTCAAAGCAGTTTCACAAGCTCTCTATTATCATCTTTGTGTTTATTTTACAGACAAGGAAACTGAAACTCAAAGAGGTTAAGTGACTTGCCCAGGGTCACACAGGTATTAAGTGGCAGAACTGGGAATTGAGCCTGGGTCCGCCTGGCTCCAAAAGCCGCATTCTTTCCACTAACCCGTGGTGCTGTTTTCCTTCCCAAGGCAATTGTCAAGATCCTTTGCCAAGAAGTGCTAACAACTCATATCTGACAGTGGATGAACAGGAAGTCTCTCCATGGCCCAGAGACACGTGGGAGAGACTGCCCATGAGATATGAGTGTGTAGGGATGGGCCAGGCTGTCAGAGAGGCTGGGTGATTTCTGGCTTGGTTGTTTTTCTCTGGAAAAGGTCTTGGTGGGGTCATTAATTCAGGAAGGGTGAGGAAGAGAGAGAGGAGTAGCGGGTAAGGCTAGGAAGAAGGCAGAGGGAGAGAGAGAGAGGTTTGCCCTCAGTCATAACCTCCTTCTTCTCCTAAATGGAGTTTGCAGGCCCCAAATCTGAAAGAGCAGCTCCCCTCTGGAAGCATAGGGGGCCCCTTCAGAAGCCCCTCCCAGCCCCAGCTTTCCCCGACCTTCAAGGTTCTCCTGCAGTGCCTGTCCTGGCAGACACCGTTCCTCACACCTATTCCTCAGCTGGACCAGAATTGCTTTGGTGCTGTATTAGGCAACATAGCTAGACATCATTTGGGACAGGAGGTAGGAAATGGAATAACTCTGTGTCTTGGACGGGGTGTCCTTGGAGATGATTTTATTAACATGTGACTTGCTTCAATTCAGAGCCCTCCAAGGGCACAGTCTCCCCTGTCTGCCAGCAGGCTAAGGAGAAGACCTGAAGGAACAGAGGTTTCAATGGAAAGTGCAGCCTGTTGAAGCAGGGACAGAGCTGTCCTTACAAAGAACTGATCTCCCCCTGAAGGCATGGCCACATCCACACTGATTATGGGTTGACTATGACGAAAACACGGGGACCATTCGAGGGACAAGTTTGCCCCACTCTAAATAGTTATTGCTATGAGGGAACTTTCCCCTGAACACACCAGGCCTCTTGTCTGATCTCTTAGCACTCCCTGGGGAGACAGAGTGAGCTACCTGGCTGGTAAACAAGAGCCAGGCCTCTAAGTTTCTTTAATGGGGGGTGCTGACCCATCAAAGATCTCAAGGAGGGAGACTTGGCCTCTCTTCCTCCATCCTTCCCTACCTGGAGAAGCGTGTGGCTTTGTAGATTCCAATTTGCCCGCAGGTTGGTTGCTCCAAGATCCAGTCTCAGGGTGGGAAGTCAATAAGCCCTTGTGGGTTCTCATTTCAAGTCCTTGCTCCAGTCATATAGATGAGGATTGGACTCCATTTTCCTCATTCCTTTGTCTTGGTTCAGAATCAGAAGGGAAAGAGGCAGTATTTATTTGTGTCTCCTCAAAATCCCAGTTGTAAAAAGCGATAGCTATTATTGTTAGTGTAATCATCATCATGCTTCTGAGGCAAATTCATTATGAACAATGAAAACTCAGGATTTTCACCTCCGTTGGTTTCATCAGGAACGTTCCAGCAGGTTTGGGCCATTACCAAGAACCTGCTTGGTCGGGAGACCCCCACCCAGGTGGGCTGAGAGGCAGACATCCAGATAGCACAACAGAACGGATCTATCCTGAGGACCAACAGCCTGAGAGCCTGCAGGGCTGACAGCTCTCCAGGACTTAGCCCCCAAGCAGAGATTCATCCACATATTTGTTTGATCTTTGACAAGTGATTCGTATCAATACACAGGTGTTTTGCATATACACCTGACTCAGGAATATACAAGGTAGGCAGCTGTTGTCCGCCTACCACTGATTATAAACTAAAAGGTATCCTCCACAAAGGAGCCGTGGGGGCAGGGTAAACTTAATGTTTCTCAATAATCCATAATCCTGAAAGAATCCCCAATGCCATGATCCCAAATGTTGAAATGCCAAAAGATCAAAATCCCTAAAGTCTAAAATATTGAAAATGGCAATCCTAAAAGATGAAAATCTTGAAAATTCAATTCTGGAAAAAAATAATGTTTAAAAAATTATTTAAAATACATTTATTTACATTTTTAAAAGATGACTTATTTGAGAAACATATAAAAACATGGCAGAATACTTTATAAACTATGCAATAAAATAGGCAATAATAAAATACATATTTTTGGAGCATAAACATTCAAGTGTGCTTAGGACAGTCCCTTGAGTATCAGAGTCACAAGCAGACAAGCTAGATTTATATGGAAATCATCAAAAAGTGAATTGTATAAACACATATCACTATGGTTGGTAATTATGTGCACTCAGCTTCATAATTGCAGTCACCTGAAATATCATGATGGCCAAGCTAAGTCATTTGACAAGACAGACAAAAGAACCTCAATGGGTCACCACCACAGCATACGCAAGTCACCCAAAGAGCTGAGTTCTAGAGAAATTTTACCTGTCACAAGTGCAAATGTACAAAAAGGACATCTCTTTATTGAGGAAGTCTCCACATTTTTACATACACATACAATGCTTACACACAAAGCCAACATTGCGATAATGTACTTTCATGGAGTCAAATCTGTAAAAAAAAAAATAAATAAAAAATAAAACAAATTAGAACTCTTTAAAAAAGTCTTTACACAATTTATACCCTCGGGATTGGAAATGCAGCAAAGTTGAAATATGTAACATAGCAAATTGTAAAAGATAACACTGATAATTTTAAGTAGTGGAGGAAGAAAAACTTTAAAAATGAAAAAAAGAGAAAATCAAAACAAAAAAGAAGGTTTGACATGAAAAAGTGTATTAAAGGATAGATTATGGGCAATTGCATGGAGATAGGCCATAAGAGCTGCCCAACTTTTACCGTCATCAACTGTTTTGAAGTCTTGCATGGAAATGAATAGTTGCTTTTTTTTTTTCTTTTAGAGCATGGCTCCCCATGGAGAATATGTTCATGTTCGTTTTCCACATGGCACTGCTGCTTTTGAAATTCTTCTGTGATTTAATATACCCCAACACAATTTCCCCATTAGATTTTTCCATCTTCTGTGCCATGTTTCTATGTTGCTTTGGACACCCAGGTACCTATTTGGAATGCACTTATCTACAGGCCACACATTTGGCAGAAACAATGCTGGTAATCAAACAGCATACACACCTGACTCAGAATATACAAGGTAGGCAGCTGTTATCCGCCTACCACTGATTATAAACTAAAAGGTATCCTCCACAAAGGAGCCATGAGGGCAGGGTAAACTTAATGTTTCTTTACAGGCCATAATCCTGAAAGAATCGCCAATGCCATGATCCCAAATGTTGAAATGCCAAAAGATCAAAATCCCTAAAGTCTAAAATATTGAAAATGGCAATCCTAAAAGACGAAAATCTTGAAATTTCAATTCTGGAAAAAATAATGTTTAAAAAATTATTTAAAATACATTTATTTACATTTTTAAAGGATGATTTATGAACAATGGCCCCTTGTCCGTTGTTGCATAAGTGGCTTCTTATCCTACCATATGCACAATTATTTTTGAACCAGTCAGTAACTCTGCTGGATTCTTCAGGTAAGTGTAGCATTCATTCATTAAAACTCCTGAAATTTCATCAGCTGGAAGGGATACTAATGCAGACAACTGGCGCATCTTTAAACTGAAGATTTTACCATTGCCATACTCCATGGCCAATCCACTGACAAGATATAATAACCTTGGTAATAGTGTCAAGACAATAATAAGGTAATAATTCCACCTAACTTGATGCAACTTACATGATACAACTATCCTGTGCACTAATCCCTCTTCCAGAATTTGGCTTTCAAGATTTCAACATTAGGGATTTTAATCTTTTGGGATTGTGATTTTCTGGATTTTGGATGATAGGGTATTTAGACTCTAGAAATTGTGATCTTTTGCAATAATGCCTCTTGGGATTATAATTGGCACTGCTCCCAACACCACTGCAAAGGGCCTTAAGATCAGCATCTGCTCCCTCTCCCCAACTATTCCTCCCCTCACCCCTAAACACTCCATCTATCACTCCACGCCACATATCTTCCTGATTCCTAGCGTACAAACCCTTCCTTCAGAAGCAGAGTACCGAAGTCACTTACAATACACTGACAGGTTGTTACAAGTAATGTTGAAATCCTCATTGTCCCATTGTCTCGGGCCAGAGCCTTGTTAGGTCAGCTTTGCAAAAGTCTGCCAGGCGTCCAAGTGTCTAGCAGAAAGAAGGGGCTTACTCACTCCCTTGTAGACATTTTGACATGTCAGAGCCAGAGAACAATATAGCTATGGAGTCATCACAAGGTATAGGGAACTGTGTATCTGTGTGAACATAGAAACGTGCATGTGTGTCTGCACAAGCCCAAATGTCTGAATCTGTTGTGCCCATCTCTTTGACAACCCCAGTGTGTCTCAGTTTCCAACTAAGGATCAACTGCTGGGTTTTTGTGAATTAGCAAGGAACCAGACGGAAGAAATGATTGCCACAGAATGCTTATTAGCAAGGGGCTTGGAGGGATAATCTAATGAAGGGGGTTAGGGGGATTGAGAATGTGTTTACATAATACTTTAGAAATCATTAAGGAAGCGGGCCAGGGACAGTGGCTCACACCTGTAATCCCAGCACTTTGGGAGGCTGAGGCAGGCAGATCACTTGATACCAGGAGTTCAAGACCATTCTGGCCAACATGGGAAACACCGTCTCTAGTAAAAATACAAAAGTTAGCTGAGTGTGGTGGCACATGCCTATAGTCCCAGTTACTGAGAAGGCTGAGGCACAAGAATTGCTTGAACCCAGGAGGCAGAAGTTGCAGTGAGCTGAGATCACGCCGTTGCATTCCAGCCTGGGAGACAGAGCGAGAATTTGGGATTCTAGAGAGGTAACCTAAAGCTTCCTAATGCCACATTGGCCCTTGGCACTATCATGGCCTGGGAGACACTTTCTGGGGTCATTGCACACTGTCACTTCTAAGGTTTGACTGTGTAAATGTGAGGTACCATTCTCACTTGCTCCTTGTAATTGGGTGTGTCTCTGTGCTTTTTGCCATCTCTCAACTCCTAACATTTCCTTCATGCCATTCCTATAGATCTTAGGTATGGGTGAGGCTTTCAAGAGCGGGGTTGGGTCTTGAGTCACCTCTGTAACCCAGCACCCAGCAGAGCCTGGCACAGGGAAGAAGCTCAAGAAATGCTGGGAATGGAAAAGATGCATTTGGCTGTCGAGAGTATACAGATTCTCTCCTAATTAACAACGCATCATTTTAGACCCTCCCCAGAGGCTCTACAGTGAATCATCTGATAGTTCCTGCTGAAAGCTTGGCTGAAATATTAATGATCCATGGGGGGGGGGGAGGTGGAACACAAACATCTTTTCAGGGTTTCTCAAGCATTTCCACCCTAAGAGGAGAGAGGTGAAATTGTGTTCCGTACAGGAGTTTCCAGACATAGCCTAAAAGCATAGAATCACCACTTAAAGAGCTGACATTTCATTTCACCCTTGATTTTGTTGAGAGACAATAAAACAACCAGTAATATATGGAATGTCTGCCTATTAAAAGAAATCATTGCTATTGTGGACACCATCCATTATGATGTCCAGTGCCCCCTTTTCTTTTGCCATAGGCAAACTCATAAAGAGATGAAGTGAATCCACATGGCCTGGAATGGAAGGAAGACCCTATGTGCTTAGCCCAGCAGAAGTCAAGGAGGCCCCTGCTGTTCTCAAAGCCAGGGAGCATGGCCAGAGAACAGACAAGGGCAATACCTGATCTCTGCAGCTGCAGAAACAGGTAAGAAGACCACCAACTCAGAAAAAGGAAAGAGGGCTTCCTAGAGAAAGTGACAGCTAAGCTGAGAACATGAAGGTTGTGTAGGAGTTCACTGAAGCAGGAAGGGAGAGCGTTAAAAGTCCCACACAGAGGATAGAGCATGGGAAAAAGCAAGTATGAACATGACCCGTTTGGAAAAAAGGAAAGTAGTTCGTTATGCCTGAAACACAGAATATAAGGGGGGAGGGGTGGAAGATGAGAAACGCTGAAAACGTTTTTATCCAAGGGCAACAAGATGACATCAAAGGGCTTCAATAAGGGAAATACTTAGCCAGATAGACATTTTCAAGATATTTCCCAGGCAAAAATGTGGATAACAGATGGTGGGTGGGGCAGAGAGGATCTGGAGAGACCTAGGAAGATACAGTTGCTGTACTAGAGATGAGGTTGTAGTGGCTTTGATGGTAGAGAGGGGATAGAGAGAAGCGATGGATCTGAAATATATATTTTAAAGGTAGAATGAGTAGGACTTGGTGAATGGCTGGGTGTGGGATTGAGAAGAAGGAGTCAAGGCCAGCTCCCAGCTTGTGATACTGGAGACAATACATTCGCTGGGCCATGATTTACTATGGGCTGGGTACCCATGCACTCTCAAGGACAAGACTTATGCCCAGGGCTCTTCCTACATAGTGGGCCAAGTCTAATATATCTCATCAGCTCTGTTTCAGCTCTCACATATCTGTGACTGGATGGAAAAACAAGTGGGCTTCTTTTGCAGATCTCTCTTGGCTTTGTGGGAGGAGGTAATAGGAAACCTGCTTAGGCTTCCTGGTCTGTCTTGTACCCCAGCACAGCTGGCCAGAAAACCCTGCAATAGTGGCAGGAATGGGAGGCAGTATGGAGAGCAAGGAGGTGTGAGGGGCTTGCCCAGCTGTCACTAGAGCAGTATTTTGTTTCCATTCAGTGCTTAACCCTGGGGAATCAGGATCTCTCCATGGGGAATCCAAGAGGCAAGAAGGAGTGAATGACGAAAACCAGGTTCCTAAGCCATATTCTAAGCTCTTGTCTTTGTAACTGTAACATTGGCACATGGTAAACTTTAACATGAGCACATTGCTGGAATATGCAATGAAGAAGGGAAGGTAAATGCCCTTCTTAAGCCACAGCAGCAAGATCTTCCCCAGTTTTCCCAGTCAATTCTAAGAAGGATTCCTACCCAGGGCCATTATGAGCAGAATTCCTCTTGCAGCCTTGCAGAGAAAGTTCTAATTACATAGCTCCTGGCATCTGTCTCTACAGCAGAATTCCTGATGAAGCCCCCAGGACTACATTCCTTGGATCCAACCCAAGCTCTTAGGAAAACTGGCACTTGGAGCAACCACTCAAAACTAGGGAGACTGAGAGAGAAGGGGGTGGAAAGAAGGAGCACTGATTTGGAAGCAGACCACTGTGCCGCACAGCCCCAGACAGCACCGTCAGCAACCACCGTATCTACGTGAGAGGAGCCCTTGGGCGTTGACCAGGTGGAGAGTCCAGCAACCTTGTCCCACCCCTGGATGCCTGACCTGACTGCATCATTACACACACACACCACGAAGCCTCAAGCCTTGCATCTATGAGTCCAGCACACTTGATTCCTTTCACAGGTTCCATATACCACCAACATCCCATGCCTAAAACAATACACTGTTTCCCCAGGCCTGAATTCACAACACTTACGTGATGTGTCATGAGAATAGAAGTCCACGAGGAAAAAACAAATGTCATAACGAAAGAGCCCAGGTAGCTTAATACCCAGGTGA